CTTCCAACAGCTCTTGCAGATTGTAAAGCCTGAGACGGACCGAACCGAACCGATGCACGTATGTACAGCTTCAATGTGCATTCATTTGTGCAGCTTACCTCCACCTCACCTCCCCACCCCACCCCGTCCTCCTCAGTCCTCAAACTGCTCTTCCTCTCCCCGTGCTCTCTGGTTGTTTTTTGCTTTACTTTAAAATCCAATAAAAGACAGACAGCCTCCCCGGCTCGTGCCTCCCATCTTCTCCCTCCCCCTCCGTCTTCCTTTTCAATCCCACAGTGTGCGAGTGTTCGAGGAAAGATTACAATCAGACTTTTGTCATCAGTGAATCATTCAAATGGCGAAGGAAGCAGCAGAGAGAAAGAGGACGAGAGTCAATGATCTCTGATGGCGGCGGAGACGCAGCTAATGATTTCCATCTAATTGCTCCTCCTCCGCTCCTGGAGAGTGGCGTCGGCTGAAGAGCGGAGCACGAGGAAGGGACGCCGAGCGAGAGAAAGAGAGGATGCAAATAATGACAAGCCATTCAGCCTTTAACACTCACCTCTGATAATGATGGTTTAGTCAGGCCTATTTGCTCCTCAGATCCTCCGCCTCCTCTTTGTCTCTCCAGCCTCAGCCTCCTCTCCCCTGCCAATATTTTCTCCTCAGTCTAAATTGACTTCTTTCCCCCACTTAGAGGACACAATAGAGGAGGAAAAAATACCACGGCTAGATTTTTTGCCGTCTTCGGTCACAGTAAAAAACCAGAGGGGGACAGTTTGTTCCATTCAGCTGCTCTGATGCTGTTTCTGGCCTCAGTCTGTGCTTCACTTCTAATCACTTCTCCTGGTGATGGTCCAGGTGGGGCTGCATCGATCACAGGGGACTGGTCTATTGTTTAGGGGTTAAATATAGCACACATTAGCTCACAATACGCCTGTGAGGCTTAATTCTGCTGGACACATGGTCCGGTAACTACACTAAAAGCTGAATCTCCACCATAAATGAAGGAATGGCTTTATTACAATAATAATAATAATAATAATTCATTTTATTCATATTGCGCTTTTCAAAGACTCAGAGACGCTTTACAGGATAAAAGAACAATAAAAGCAACTAATACTGAAGTGGACCACGCAGATAAAAACAACACAAGATATCAGGATAAAGGTTTAAGAGAGAAAAGCAAAACAGGGGAGTTTGTAGTTTGGATTTGAATACTGCTGGGTCTGTGGGGTCATGGATGTGCTGTGGGAGAGAGTTCCAGAGGGTCCTGTCCCCCCAGGGTCGCTGCTGGGTCCTGGGACTGATCAGGAGGTTGGCATGAGCGGTACATGAAGGGGTGTAGGGGTGGAGCATGTCTCTGAGGTCAGAGGGGGCCTGGTTATGGAGCTGTATGGGTGAGGAGCAGGATTTTGAATGGGATGGGAAATCAGTGAAGGTTTGGAAGGATGAGGGGAAGTGGTCTCGGGAACGGGAGTGGCTGGGGAGGCGAGCGGCAGAGTTTTGGATGTACTGTAGTCTACGGAGGAGGTTGGTGGTGGCACCGAAGAGGATGCTGCTACAGTAGTCACTGTGATGAAGGCGTGGATGAGGGTTTCTGCTGCGGGGAGGAAGAGAGGGGCGGAGGAGGGCGATGTCTTCTACATGATGGAGGCTGTTTTAGTGACAGGATTCATGTGTTGGCTGAAGCTGAGCTTAGTGCCCAACGTGACGCCGACGTGTGCGTTCTTTGCGTATTTGGACATCCATGGTGCCGATCAGCTCCGGACTTGGCGGGTGCATCCCTGAGGCCCCGAGGAAAGCGTCTGAACGAGCACTTCTTGAGAATCATAAACACATACAGACTAAACAGCAGCCTGTGTCTACAGTCGATCCGCGGTGATTCAGCGATGTGACGTTATCAATGACAACAACAGCGCGTCTCAGAAACGTTCGATCAAAGCGAACATTCCTCCGGAGGACACGCTGCAGCTGAAGAACTTCGCTCACGGCCGTGGTTAGCGTGAGAGGACTTCAGATGGCGACGTGGCGCTCTGTACGCAACGCCAGCTGGAAACGGCCGATCACACCAGTACAGTGGCTGCAGTTGACCAGAAAACATCCCAGAGCACTTTGAGGACACTGGATCCACATACAGACCCGAGCATCATGCAGGCTGTTAGGGTTGTTTAAAAGTGGACCAGGCTCTGGTAGCAGCATCGCTTAGAGCACATTTCTTCTTCATGTGACCCGTGTATAAAGTGTTTTCTACTCTGCTGCCGTTATAGTAACGTAATATCACATCTTACATCGTTATTTAGCCATTTTAGATTCTCCATTTAACAACAGAGTGAGAAAATTGCTTAAACCAACATCGCTGACCTTTGCTACGGCCTGAACACTGTCTCAGTTATTCCCACAGTGGCAGTGATTATCGTAACTACATACTACTGCAGACATGAAGCTCATCTGAGTCAGAACCACGTCAGGGTTTAAGTCAGGTACTTAAAATGCTGATTCGATGTGTGTTATTGATATGATAACACAGCAGTGGTGTCAAAATTAGGTAACGATGATTACACGATTGCTTCAATATTAATGAGAAGTTTTCACACATAAACAATGATTAGATGAAAAAAAAGTCATAGTTTGGGGCAGACCTGTACAACACTACAGCCAGACACATGAAGAGTGTTTAATCGATTTCAAAATTATGTTTCAAAACAATGCAATTAATGTAATCTATCTAATCTAACAATCTATCAGGACCACTGACTTGACGTACGTTGTAATATCTTCCCATTAATCTTTAACTTTATTCCCAGCAGCCTGTTCTCTTCGTGTCATCGTGTGTTTACATCAGAGCTCTTATCCAATCATATTCAGCTGTCATGTGTTGCCGGGGTGACAGAAATCTGCCCTGAGGCCTTCACGATCAAAAGTGTAGCTTAAAATGCATTGAAATTAAACTGTTGCTTTAACCAATCAGACTGAGAGCTGGTGGTCCCTATGATGACATCAGCACTGCCCCGTCCTCTGATTGGATGGTCAGAGAGCTTAGCCAAAGCTAGCGGTTCCTGTCTGTAGCCAGCTGCACAAGCTAAAACTTTATCGTGAAAGCTTTACGATTTTTGTTTTTTAAGTTACGCAAGCGGACGTTGTCAGCCTTAAACTAAACCTTATGTCAGAACCAGGACTGGACAGACCGGCTGTCAGCATCAGCCTCCAGGAGACAGAACAGGATTAGCTGCTCAACAGAGTGACTGAAGTCCTCATGATGTTCAAATACATATATCTGTCATTTTCCTGGGCTGATACTGATGCTCCTGCTAGACGTGATGCATGTGCTGCATGGAGACGTGCTGAAGCGTTTAACTGGCTTTAGTGATGGCATTCATTCTGGCTCCATGAGATCCCTGTCTGCGGTGCAACGTCCTGTTCTGCTGCCTTTCTGCATCCCACTGATGGTTTCTACAGCCGTGGGGTCACAATGACGGTGTTTGGAGGACGCTAGGTGTTAAATGCACGGCTCGCTGCTGGGTTTTACAAATTCCTGCTGTTGATGGTATCTTACGTGCTAATGCTCTATCACATGTTTTAAATCTGCTGCAAAGCTAACTTTAAGCTTAAATTAAAATTAGAAGTTGACATTGCAAACTGTATTGCAATGGCAATATTGATAATAAAAATCACCATTAGATATTTTCCCCAAATCGTTGGGCCTTAGCAGAGAGAGGATTAGGGTCAGTTACACAGAACCAGCTAATTACAGTTGTAATGTTAGTGTTTTAATAACCCCGTACAGTTTGGATGAGCAGCTGGTCACTGATACTGCAACTGAGAAGCTCTGGAGGCTGAGCAGTTCCTGCCCCAAACTGGCAGATTTTAAACAGGCACCGCAATAGATGAGCTAAAGAGACAGAAATGCCTGCAGGAGTTCTGCATAAAGCTAGAACCTGCCAGTACCTTGACAGATATTCCCTTCATGAAAGCAGTCTGTAACCATGTTAGGGAAAGTTACCATCGATGACAAATTCACACTGGAGGTGATTTGTGTGCTTCAGGTATCAGAGGACGTACCGGAGGCGTGAAGACGAAACGGCAAACAGCAACACGACAATAAACACAGTTTGTCTAAGAAAGGCTGCCAGTTGAGGAGAAAGGATGACTTTTTAGATGCAGTAATGGAAAAAAACAGCTCTTTCCCTTTTGAAAGCTTTATGTGGTGGCAAACAGAGACTGTACGTTGTTCCAGGAAGCGACTCGTGTTGGAATGCATTAGTCAAAAAAAAAAAAAAAACACCGACTCTGAGCTCTATGTGTTCAACCTAAATGCAGAAAACTGAAGAAGAGTAGGATAGGTGTGCATGGATGCGGATTAAGAAGTCACAGGAGACAAAAACATCAAACCGGCCAGGTTGAAGTCGAGTCTTCACTGAATGAGTACGTTTGGTTTGGGGGAAGAAAGGACACTGTGATCTTCTTGCCCGAGGAAGGTTTCTTTGATAACGCCTCACAATCCAAACAACGGGAGTTTGGGCTGATTTTGTCCCAGCACCTTACCAACCTTGCATTTATTATCCACAAATAATAGTGGCTTGTTTGAAGCTTCTCTACTTTCCTTTCATACTGAGTTTCATTCCTCCTGGAGCTCAGCGGGAATTTATCCCTGATTTATTGATTACAATGAAATATTTAAAACAGAGTCTAGTGTTGTGTCTGTGTTCTCCATCACTGAAGCTCCACATTTTTAGACTCACTGTTTGCACAAAAACAATTTTTTTGCATTTAATAGCATCAGCGAGTGCATTTTGTCCCAAATCAGAAAAAAAAAACACATTTTGAAATTTGGACAAAATGTTGAGGCGAAGGGAGAAAATCCCAGAAAAGAATTAGAATCTCTTCGTCCCTCCTCTCCTCGGATCACACTTTGATTTAAAATATGCGTATTAACTAACACCTGTCAGTACTGCTGTGGTTGATGTGAAGCTGCACTTTGCTGCTATTGGGTACCAAACTGCATTTGTTCATTAACTCACCTGCACGAGGAACCAGGAGATGAGCACCGAGACCCAGGGGTTGCCGCTGTGGGACGTCTTCTTAGCCGGAGACAACACCTTACCTGCAGGGATAAAAAAGAGAGACGGTGGTGAAAACAAGCCATCCTTCAAACTGGAGGGAATTCTTTCCATGAAAACAACATTCTTCAAGAGCAGCTTCAGCATAAAAACAAGCTTTAAACCCCACATCAGTGAAACGAGTGGATACAACATGCTAATCACAGAAGTACTGCAGTGAATGACTGAACACCTGATTGGATGCACAGTTCTGCAGACTGTGTGGTTACAGAGCAAATTAAAGCCACGAGCGGCATTGGACGGGTCCAGGGTTCATACATATTTGAAATTTCTAAATTCCATACGTTTTCCAGACAATAATTTTCAGACTTCTCGGTAAAAAAAAATTCAAATAGTGAACTTAGTTCACTTGATGTTGTGGGACTTGGTCTCATGCTGGGTTTAGCCAGAAACGCTGTGACTCTCAGTCAGAGGATGAGGTGACGAGACAAAAGTGTTTTTTCTCCTGCATATGACTCCCAACCGCCGCCTCCCCCATGATGGAGATGTCAAACGAGTTCACACAAAGGCTGCATTTAGCTTTCTTTATCCATTCAGGATCCTGATCCAGTCTTTATATGTGGGATGTATGAGCCATCAGAGAATTTACCCATCATGAGTTCTGTCAGCGACCATACAAGACATTTTGAATCACTCACTCACAGACTTGAACATCATCTGTCTGTGGAAGCAGTAGTGGAACGTGACAACACCTGAGCGGGCCAATGGGTTGGAAGAGGATAAGAGCAGAGGGCGGGCATTCAACTTGTCAATCTGCCCAAATGTTTACTGGAACACGTAGCCATGGATCTATGATATGAACACGTAGCCATGGATCTATGATATGACGTGTCGACTTTAGGGCTGATCGGAGCACATGAGGCCTGGTCACGAGCCACTTCCTGTTCAGTGGCGAGCTGCGGCGGTGTGCGTGGCGTGTTGTGGCGTGCTGGTAGCTCACTCTGGCTGAGACTCGGAGCACGCGTGTAGAGTTTCAGGAAGGTCGGAGCACGTACAGGCCAGTTACACAGCACGTCCCATTTAATGGCATTTTATGGCGTTTTGGCAAAATTCTACTGGCCGCCATTTTGACGCCGTCAGACTTTTGCGGAGAGTTTTAATAACTTTTAATGACCACGTCCTGCAGTGTGTGCTGGCCAGATTTCAGGTGTGTACGATGTTCCCTGTAGGAGGAGATAGATTTTGAAAATGGCCAAAAATGAGCAAAAATTGCAAAATTCTGAGCGTGATTTTTCAAAATGGCGGACTTCCTGTTGGGTTTAGGGCTTGGAGCTGATTGACTTTTTTTGTGCATCCCTCTGATGTGTGTGCCAAGTTTTGTGCGTGTGCGTTTAGGACCTCAATGTCATGAATAATGATCATAAGAACCCGAGCAGGTCCAACAGGGTCCGACACCCTGTTAGTGCTCGGACCTGATTCAGTGGCCGGTGGACGATCCTACGTCGCTCACAGACACACCGTCGTCAGTAGAGTTTCACTGGAGCTCCTTCTCCTCGCTGCTATTCCTGGTGGTTTCTGACACTCTGCTTCCCACCAGCCTCCATAAAATATGAATGTGTTCACTTATCAAATGAGAAGGAGATCTCAGCATGCACAGTTTGCTGCCAGTGGACACAAACCAGGCGGTCTCATGCTGAGAAAAATGAATTTCTTAGTTAAACTGGAAGAAACACTCCTTCCCTGAGTGAGACAGATGCATTTTTTATCATAATGAAATTGGCTACAGTCTTCTTTACAGACTTAAACTCATATTGGTATTGTTGTGTTCTGCTCTGAAAGCCCTCAGTGAGCTCCACTGTGCCACCAATCAATCTGAGCATGCACCTTTTGGATAACATAACTGAACTTCATTTGTTTCCTATAATGTGCTTCTCACTGTTGCATCCCTTCGCCCATGTCCGGAGCGGCTGTTTTTAACTTAAAGCAGATGACGTAGCTCCTACATTCGTTCCAATGAGGCCGCTGAGTTGCCAAGAAAACAAACAACGAGGACATCTGGCCAAGAAGCTGCACTTTCACAGATGGTTTGTTCCACTTTGGATCCAAGCAGGTAATATATGGCATTTAAGTAACTCCAGAACCTGTGCACATAAGGTGCATCCATGGGATCTGAGCGCAGGGACCATAAATATAAGCAGAAAACCATCTTTGTGAGGGAACATTTGCACCAATGTGGTCCTGTGAGCGTGGGGCGGTGACGAGCGCTCGCTTTACCGTCACTGCTCCTGACGCTTTGGGGGCAGGACGATGGCTGATAACGCCGCTTCTTTGACTGGTTGATCTAGTCTGAGTTGTGTTGATTGTTGCTTATTACAGCGACTGACTGATAAACCAAACTCTACTACAGCTGTTTAGTTGTCCGTCGGTCCCCACAGCTGGCCGGAGGAACACCAAGGTACCTGCTGTCAGATGACAAAACCACAACGTCTGACTGATTCGTATTACTGTCGGTACATTTTGTGGTACCAGTCTGTCTATTTTGTCAGCTTTTTCTTCACTAAATCGGTTGCTCTTTGTATACAAATAAGGGGTAAAATGAAAAGCGATTACACAAAAGGAGAACTATGTGGTGGAAGCAGCCCCAGTTCACAACTTTTCATTTTGTGTTCCTGTTTGTCTTCAAGTTGTTTCCAGTAGAAGCAGATGTGAATATTAAGACATAACGGTACAGATCTGGACTCGGGATGGCAATGGATAATGTTAGTGACATTTAAACAAAACTTATTTAATTAACTACGTGTCGGGTTTAAAAAGCAGCGAGAGAGAGGGAGAGCGAGGGGGAGACAGAGGGGGAGATAAACCAAGCTGACACGCCGCTTTATTTAATGCCTTTCAGGGCTGCGCGGTCTATTGGAAGTCGGCGCACTAACATACATCTCACACCTTCATATGTGACATTTCATCTCATCATGATGACATTCGTATTGAACCCGGCTGAGTACAGCAGAGGTTGCAAGAGTGAAAGACAGAGGCGCTCACGGAGACATAAAGCAGCTCCAGAGGTGAGGGAGGGCGGAGGTGGCGGCGAGGCGGGTGAAGGGTGGCGGTGGCGGCAGGTGGGGACTCTTAGTTTAAGAGTAAATTTCACAGCTGATAAAGGATTGGAATTAAATCAGCGAGACTTTAAAGTTAAATCAATGCGGCTGAGAGGAGTCGACTGAGTGATGGAGAGAAGGGAGAGAGGCAGGACAGAGGTGAAGGAGGTAGAGATTAGCCCGTTATAGAGGAGAAAGAAATGGAGATGTGTGGGACGGCAGGAAAAAAAAACCTAAAACCTCCTTTGTAGTGTGTGTGTTGGGAAACTGACACATCCATCAGTCAGTTTGCATAGGACAGTGGCAAGGTTAAGCAGCGAGGAGCATGCATGAATGACAACAACAGGAACACACACTCATACAGTGTGGTCATGCTAACCGTCTCACACACATCCCTCTCCTACAACAACATCACACATTTCTGGTTCCACAGTCACTGACTCTTAATTAAACAGATTAATCTAATTTAGGTTAACCCTTCGTCTGCCAGCGGCGAGCGCACCGAGCAGTGCTCCAGTCATCTGCCTCTGCTCTGTATGATCACTCCACAGAGGAACTGCTGCTAATACAGCCATTTATCTCTTCTGACACACACACCAGCGCAGCTAAACACACAGACAGAAACGGGCCAAATCAATTTGCAATAGACTTAACAAAGGAGGAGAGGACGGGATAAGGAAGTTGCTCACAGTCATTAATAATGACAAAACAGCAGGCAGCATGGATTCACACGGAGGAGCGATGGAAATCACACAAATGCTGCGTTCGCTTGATATGGGAATGACTTCAATCCAGAGTGTTTGTGCTGAAACTTTCCAGAAGCAATAAATGGCCCTGCGTCTTCAGATACAGCCCACACGTGTGCTTGATGACGAGGAGCTTTCTGCTGGTGAAATGAAGAATTCTGAAAGTCAGAAACAACATCAAACACCTGCTGACCTTGGAAACGAAGGGTGAGGGAGGGTCTCCAAGGGCAGCAATCTGCAGCCTCACTGTGGTGAGAAGCCGTTGAATCCCACACACTGGTTCAATGACAGTATTTCTGTGTCTAGAGCCGATAAATAAGCTTTTATTTCTCTGATTGTCAGACACCTACAACTGCTGTAAAACTTAGCTTAGTTCCTGTCAGGTGTGTTTTGCATTTTACCTGAATCATATCTGCGTGTCTGGTATGTTCTGAACGCTGTAACGTCGTCAGTGCAACATAAAAACCAACAGCAGCTTCAGAGGAGCTTCTTCCCTCACAGGAAACAACAGCGCTACCTACCGAACAAGTCGTCCCTGGCCAGGGCGTAGAGGATGCGCGAGGCTCCGATGAGGTTGCTCATGGCAGCGGACAGCGTCGAGGAATAAACCCCGATGGTGACGAAGGGGTTCCAGATGTTGATGTCTCTCAGGAAACTGTAATCCCTCTGAAGCAGGATGCTGTGTGGGAGCAGAGAACCACAGATTACTTCAACAACCGTAATCAGGAGGTTTATAATCATCCTCTTTAATGTGCTCGGCTGGGTTACAGAGCAGAGAAGTCGTGTTTCCACAGACAAAACCGATAAGCTGGAGGACGCTTTAATTTCCTGGACAGCACAGAGACATTAGTTTGTGTAATTAAACTTCTGGGGGTGACAAAACTACAGACCAAGATGAGTAAAACAGGAGGTAAGCTGTGGTAGAAGTTGTCATAGTGACTTTAAAGTATGACTTAACCAGCTGAGCAACAAAGACGCCAAAAAAATAATTCAACACTAAAGTTGAAGCTGAGAGCGACTTGTGACCAGGTCTACGGTCGGGTGACCAGGTCTACGGTCAGGTGACCAGGTCTACGGTCGGGTGACCAGTTCTACGGTCGGGTGACCAGGTCTACGGTTGGGTGATCAAACACGCTGACACAGCTTTATTATATGACGGCTATCCATCTCAGAATGATGCAGATCTGTCAGTACGACTGTTAGAACCCAACAGTGGACGTTCATATGGTTTTGCATTGATGTGATCAAGCAGCTGAATTTTTCCAGATATTTTATTTGCTTGATGATTCACCACAGACAGTCCTGTGTACTTAATGATGCAGAAAATGAACTTTCTATGTACTCTGGCCTATATTGATATATAGAAATATATATATATATCGATACTGCAACATAAAATGACATAAACCATGATAGGCCGCTGCCGGTGTTATCGACCCGTATCGGCCCATTACAGACACTGTACAGAGCCGTCTGTTGGCAGATATGAAAGTACTGGAGCTGGAAACTGCAGCAGTGAATGTTTACCTGCCGGCTTTTTCATGCATATTTGATGGTTTTCTCAAATTGTGTTTAATGTGAATACGTTTGTGTGAAGTTAAGTTAAAAATTCTACATTTTTCTTTTTTTGTTTTTGTCATTCTGTCACGTATTGCGGTAAAAAGTGCACTTCTACTTGTCTGAAACTGTAAAATGCTTTGTTTATGTTACGTGTTCTGATGTAGTCTCTGATCTATACACTGGTCTGATACCAGTACAGACACGTATGTCATCCGATATGTACTGACATTGTTAAATACATTTTAAGTTTTGTGTTTTTGTTTTTTTTTATTGCCTTTATTAGACAGGATAGTGTAAAGAGAGACAGGAGAACGGGGGAAGGACTTGCAGCAAAGTGCCATGAGTGGGATTCGAACCCATAGCTGCTGCATCAGAGACTACAGTCCCTGTACCTGGGTCACCAGCTCAGCCAGGTGAGCTAAAGCAGTGGCCCTTTGTTTTTCTTTAATAAAGCATAAAAACAGTTGTAATGATTTCATCCCAGAGTTTGTCCTGCTGCTCTGACCAGTTGTTATAAAAACTCTCACAGCAGAACTAAGGTCCTACTCAGTTTGTGAAACACGCTGCTGAGAAGTTAAGACTTTAACATACTGTCTGTTTATTATGTTCAGAAAATAAATAAATCTCCAGGAACATATATGGCGATCTAATCTATCAATTAGGTTGATTATGAGTTTGGCAGCTGTAACAATAGACTGGTGGTATTTTCACACTTCTATTGTTAACGGAGAATAACGAGGAAACAGCTCAAAAAAAGGGGAGGCCTATAAAAGTACTCCAACCTTGCAGTGAGAAACCTCACACACACAAAAGAGACTTTATCAGTTCATTACGTTCATATCAGGGGTTCAGAATCAAGTGGTCCAAAGGGCTGAGTCTGATTTCTAACTCATTTGTTCTGGGGCGCAAAACGTGCAGATGTCCGATGAAAAAGACCAAGATTGAAGAGGAAGTGGCGATTACTCTGCCGGGGTGCCTAATGATGAGATCCTGGAGTACAGCGAGTGTGTGTGTGTGTGTGTGTGTGTGTGTGTGTGTGTGTAGGAGACAGTGCACTAGACATGGAGAAAGAGAGATCAGAGTACAAAAAACACAGCAGGGTGTGCATGATTATGGCCGACCCCCTGCCTCTTTTCAATACAACACTGCTAGAGAGATGAGAATTAGAGTGCAAAGTATTCCTCTCTCTCTCCTGATCCGTCTCAATCTCTCTTTGTAGCTCAGCACACACACACACACACACACACACACACGCATCCAGTCCATCCATTCCTCTCCCTCATCACCTCCATCTCCTTCATCGTGATGTTTTTAAAACCCATTCAGGAGGATTTTCTCGCTTTTCTGTCTCCATTTTATTTGCGACTTGTTCCAGTGTCCGATCTCTCTCTGCTGATTAAGAGTCTCATCACGTTTTCTTTCGGGTCCACTGATTTTAATACTTATTATCATGGCCCTATTAAGTATTGTTCACTCCATCCAAAGATCTGAGAACACTATTATTTCACACGGAGCCCGAGAGGCAGGCGGCGCGCCCACACGCACACGCACAGGTTGTTGCATTACCACAAATCAACTAAACAAAGGTTCTGCGGAGAAGTTAACATCACCCTCCAAATTAGGAAATGCCAACTACTTTGTTTATGTGGCGTGTGTGTGTGTGTGTGTGTGTGTGCGTGTGTGTGTGTGTGTGTGGCGTGAGCTCTGCAGTGAAAAGTTTATGAACCATTGCTTTAATCAGACCCCGTGACATATTCATAACACCAAGAAAACAAAACTGGTCTGCTACACAAACATGCGCTGGAAGGTGCGTCTCAGCGTGTTTTTCCTCAAAAAATATCTGAAAGTGTTGGTGAGGAAATGAAGTGTGTGTGTGTGTGTGTGTGTGTGTGTGTGTGTGTGTGTGAGAAACAGGTGAGTGATGATGTGGGTCAGAACTTATAGGTTGATTATTAATTTCTCTGACGTGCAGCAGGAGCGAAATAAATCTGGAAAAGCTTGACATTTCCAAACTGCCTCTCAAAAACAAAGCCGCTACGAAGCGGGTGACAGCGGTGACAGATGATGTGTGTGTGTGGGGTGTGTGTGTGTGGGGTGTGTGTGTGTGGGGTGTGTGTGAGAGGGAGGGAGGACGTCCATGTTGGGTCATAACAGAACCAACACCAGTAGTTTTATAATTCTGTGCTTCGCTGGGAGCTGTGTCTTCATCACTGAAGGCGTATGTGTGACTGTGAGCGTGTGTGGCTTCGCCTGGATAGTAATTATTGATCAGATCATCCGGCTGAAATGAGCTCTGCCATCGAAATAAAGAGGAGAACAAAAGCGCGAGGGAGCGAGTGACAGATTAAAGGAGCTCGTTTAGAGAAGAGGAGGAAACAAAGCTGGATGACTAAAAGGAGCCCGTGGAGATTGTTTGGCCGATTGTTCTTCCTCCTCGCGGCCCGCTCCATCCTTCAGCTCATTTGTTAACCATTTTTATTCATGCCCTCATTTGTGTATTCATGCATATTCATCTTTTAATCCATCATTTCGCGTGTTTGTGCTTCTGATAATTCGCCGGTGCTTTGGTCGAACATTATGGATTAATTAGCTGCGATTTTTCAAACGGGATGAAAAATGAGCGGCAGGTCGCTGCATGTGTGTTTAGGCGCATTACAACAAACACAGACATCACAAACAGCGCTTACATGCTGCTCTTGGAGCGCGAGGTCACTCCTCATCAGGACCAACGCTCAGGATCATCTGGTTTAACGATCCTACAGAACGTCCAATAAACGCTGGGATGAGAGCAGAGCCAGTTACTGAAATGGGCTCGGGCTTATGGCTAACATCACTGTTATACTCATTGCACCATTATGTGACCATTTATGTCTCTGGGATATAGACACAACAGTCCGGCCAGTCAATACTCTCTGTAGGATGCAAAGGTTAGACTCTCTTATGAGCCCCTCCATCAGCATTACAATGACAAGCTTTTATTTTTACTGCATCCTTCTTGGTTGACCTCTCCACGTGTGACAGCAGCACTGGGTGGACGCCGTACTGATGTTTCAGGTGAACGTATGCGACAGTCATCATTTGTGCTCTTACGTTATCTTAGAGCACAAATATCGCCTCCAAAATTTGGATCTATTTGGTGTTTTCCCCAGACCTGCACTCTCTCTGTCTGGAAAAATCCTCTAAAATGGCAATAAAGCAGCACTAATCAATATTCTCTATAATAACGGTGAATTCACTGACTGTGTATAACGCAGGGCTTTCCCCAATCCCATCACTGGAGCTTTGAAGGAGGAGGGGCAGACGAGGACAAGAAGGAGACAAAGACGTTTCCCTTCAGTTTGAATGAAAATTCCCACAAAACGTGAACGCTGACATCAAATAAATGATCAGTTGTTTGAATCCTGGACCTTCCAGTAATAAAAGACACGACAGCATCCGTTACGACTCGCTTTCTGCTTTCTGTGAGGGACTGAGTGGTTCGGACGTCGGTTTATAGCTGCTCCAACAACAACATGATGAACCACAGCTGGTAAGCTAACGCTACACTTTGTCAGGTTGCACCAAAATTAGCCGTCTCAGGAAAAAGAAAGCATTTGCAAGACGGCTGAGCTGTCACTTCAGTTTGTAGGCGACTCGTAGATTTATGATCCTTCAGCACGTCTGTCACTGTTCTGACTTCTTTGGGGTCGTTGGAGTTTAAAGCACTTTTTTGGCATCTTGCTATAGTTGTTATCTGTAATTGTGTCACGTGTCCTTGTCCTGGTGGCGGTGATGGTAGCGACAGATGAGATCAGAAAAAAACACTATTCAAGTACTGATCTGTATGCTTGATTAGGTGACAGATTATTGAACAGCACTGTAAAATCACTTCTTTCGCCATGAGGCCATTGTAATTTAATTAACCTGGAACCATGTCAGTGGACTGATTAAGTTCTGTAGAAGCATTGTGATCCTCATCGTATATATTTCCAAACATTAAAGTCCCTCCTTGGTCGCTGACTGAATCCCTACAAGCTCACCTCCACGTATTTCTATGAAAACAGTTCCTTCATGTGCAGATCTATGAAGCGCCCGCCTCCTGCTCCACCTCCTCCACGACTCGCTGCAGCTCAAGCACAT